TATGGATTACTCCTGAACATAAAGAAACCCAACCCCTCACCTCTGGCCCACTGGACAACTTCATGATAAACTGAGAGAAGATTGAAGCTGTCAAGAATTGTATCCTTAATCCACTGTCAATGCCCATGGGAGCAGCCGTCGTGAAATCTGCATTGCTCAAATCTGCTGCCCAAGGCCTCTTTAACGTGTTAAAGAGAATAAGATGTCGCTCTGTGGGCTAAGCTGTACCTGGCCCGAGCCATGGTACTTCCATGGCCTCATCTGCATGCTCCAGCTAATCCATGCACAAGGAAGAAGAATGGACACCTGTTAATTGTGGTGTTGACCAATACTGAATGCACCTCGTCTGCCAGAAGGCGAAACAAATCGGTCAGGGGAGAAGGAGAGACAGCATATTCCTTAGAAGCCAGGATGGCAAGGCTTCATCTTACGAGTTTGGGGCATTTTATCAGGAAGGATCCGTGTCTGGAGACAGGCACCATGAAAAGGAGGAAGCCCCTCCAACCAGATGGGCTGACAAAGTGGCTGCAGCGATCATGCGGCTGGCACGGGGCACCGCGGTGTCCGTTCTGCTGTACACAGGGCCACTGCTAGTCAGACCGGACTCACTGGGCCCTAACAGTCATACTTTAAAAGATCATGCATTCGTCTGGGCAAGCTGGTTAGGGGTCTTCCTAGAGAGGTGGAATGGACAGAGCACTGTGAAAAGGGAGGAAAGAGATGCTACAAAAAATAAATTGCCTTTAGACATTGAGTGGAAAAATCTACAGATAGCCCCGCAGCTTAGCGAACCAGTATGGTGGACCTCTGTCCCCAAATATCTCTAATCAAATAGTCTGAATCCCCTCACTCCCATTAAATTAAATTTTATTAGTCTTGTTTTTCTCTCTCCCTATAAGCGTTTCTTCTTTGAAAAAGTCAAGTGTGCTTGGATGATTAAATTGGTTCAATTCGATTTTTGTTCCTACTGGTCCCTGGCTGAGACTCGCCACAACTCAGTTCAACTTCCAATTTAATAAACCCTTGATGGCAGCACACGTCAGCCTTTGCCACCAGATGAGCTTCCGAAATGAGGGACAAGGTTGGGACGTTAAAGCAGCAGTTTCAGAAGTGACACGTGGCGTGGATGGTGAGATGCCCTATCAGCTCACAGCAGGGGAACTGAATGAGCGAGCCTGGGGCCACAAGAGCTGCTTGGAGATCCCCAAGGGAACCACAGGCTGCAGGGACAAGGACTGCCTCCCAGAGTGGACAAAGAGGGACAGCCTTCCCCTAGAACCAGCCCTCTGAATTTGGACGTCTGACCTCTTAACCCATAAGGGCAGAAATGTGTTGGTTAGAGCCGTGTACTTGTGGGGCAGCAGAATTAGGTGGCTCACAGAGCACAGCGTGGATGGAAGGGCATCAATTAGAAATCTGTCACAAGACAGAAACGTGGGTGAAGGGAGACATCAGACAGTGTAAGACACGACAAAATAATAATAATGTATAAATTACCAAGGGGGAGGGAGGGAGGGGAAACATGAGGAGCTGATACCAAGGGCGCAAGTAGAAAGATAATGTTCTGAGAACGATGATGGCAACAAATGTACAAATGTGCTTGACACAATGGATGGATGGGTGGATTGTGATAAGAGTTGTACGTGCCCCCAATAAAATGATTTAAACGAGAAATCTGTTGCAAGAGTCCAAGCAAAGAAAGAGGCTTAAACTAAGAGAGATCTGTCGGTGGAATTGAAGAAAGATATCCTCAAAACTTCCAGAACCTAGTGATTTTCTGGTGGCTTCTTACAATGATTTAGTATTGATCGAAGGTGAAAAGGCGTCTGAGCAAGATGGTGGAGTCACTGTGGCTGGAGAGCCGGTTTGGGAGGCGAGATGAAGCCCTGATGACGCAGTGGTTATGGGCTCGGCTGCTAACTGCAAGGTCAGCAGCTTAAAACGGCTCCTCAGGAAAAAGACTTTCTCCTCTCAAAAAGGGCCTTTCTCCTCTTGAATAGAGTTGCCGTCTTGGAAACCCACAGAGGCAACTTAACCCTTGTGGTGTAAGGCCATTGGGAGTCCGCATCAACTCGGCAAGAACGAGTCTTGAGGGAGGAGGAATCTAGTCCTATGTATGTTAAGTGTGAGGGCCTGGGAGATGGCTTGGAGGCGGCAGTGACCAACAACCCTTGCATGCAGGGGAAGACCTGGTGAGAGAGGCTGACCTGGAACCACCAGCATCCAGATCGCAACAGAAGCCTGGGGTGTAAATGAGATCCCCAGCAAGTGTGCGAAGAAGGGGCGATGGTCTAGTAAGGATAGACAGTGACTAACACTGAAGGGCAGAGACCAAGAGGGAGAACTGGCGGGTCAAAGGGCCACGCAGGGACATGCAGAGAGGCAGACAGTGGGTACCAGGTGGGTGGGTGGTACAGAACCCAGGCGTGACTGTGTCTGCAGAAAGCGAGGGCTGGAAAGTGGCTGCTCTGGTGAGAGCATTTTCAGGAGAAGGGTGTGAGGTAGAAGCCACTTTGGAGTGGGTTGAGACGTGAATGTTGGTTTAAGACAAGAACATGAAGCCCAGCGTGTGAATCGGCGGTTCCCAAAGTGGGCGATCCCACCTCCGGGGGCTGGGGGAGGGGATGCTGGCAAGATACAGGGGGGTCTGCAAAAGCAGATGATGTTGTTGTTAGATGCCATCAAGTCGGCTCCGACTCAGTGCCATATGTGCAACAGCAGAACCCATCGCCTGGTCCTGCACCAGCCTCCCCACTGGTCTCATGGGTGAGCCCATTGCTGCAGCCACTGTGTCCGTCCATCTGGTCAAAGGTCTTCTTTTCCACTCTCCCTCTGCTTCACCAAGCAGCAAAAGCAGATGCCTACACCTTGTCATGGGTCATAAGCTATGTCCAAAAAGCTTTCAATCGCCAGAGGGATGAATACCATAATATTTTTTTTCTGAAAAGGGGGCATTGAAGCCAAGTAAGTCCGGAAGCCTATGGTACAGACACCTCTTCCAGGAAACGGGGCTGTAAAAGAGGGTGACATCGGGAGAGAACGTGGCACAGAGGGAGGGTACGTGTCTTGTTTTTAGATCATGTGAGTACATTTCAACATTGACGGGAATGTCCCCATATAGAAGGGCCAAGTAAGGACAAGAGAGACGGTGATGATTAAGAGGAGGTTCCTGAAATGAGGGGAGAGGGTAGGAGGCACAGTGTAGAGAAAAGGTTGACCTTATGTTGGAGGAACTGTGCATCCCCCATGATATCAAGAAAGAAGATGGTCCGATGCCTGTCAAAAAAAAACACACAAAAAACCCCTCAATGCCATCGAGTCAATTCCAATTCCAACTCGTAGTGGCCTTCTATCAGACAGGGTGGAGCTGCCACTGTGGGTTTCCAAGACTGACTCTTTACCATAACTGAAAACCTCGTTTTTCTCCCACAGAACAGTGGGGAGCTTCGAACCACTGGCCATGGGGTTACCAGCCCAACTCTAACCACTAGGCAACCAAGGCTCCTCCAGTTGCCCGGAGAAGTGCAGATACAGTATTTTGATGGGAGGCTGAGGGCACTGCCACCTGGTGGCTTCCAGCTGTCGTGTGGCAGCCAGCGAGGTTGTCTGTGGGAGTCAAGTGGCAGGCAAGGGTTGACTGAGGAGAAGAGGGATTTGAAAGAACTTTGTGGACAAGGGAGCAGGAGCTGGCCAGGGAGTGTGGAGGGCCCAGCTGAGGGTGGAGGCCTGTTGCAAAGGCAGTGGTGCCAGTTTACTTGGGTGTGCCCTTCTCCTGTTACCTGGGCAGCTGGGGTGGTGGCAGAATTCAGGCAGAGCCGGGTCTGGCCAGGCAGATGCATTGGGAGCACAACAGAGCAAAGGCTTTGGGGATGCTGGTAGGGGAGTGACCCCAGGGCGGCATCGCGAACCCTAAGCTGGATAGAGAAGTGAAGGGAACAAGGTGACCGGTGGAAGGTTCTAAGGAGGAAAAGTGGGCAAATTATGAGTCCAAGAGCAGGCAAAGCTGGTCAGAGGCAGTGGACGGCATGAGGCCTACTGGGGCCGAGGGCAGGGCAGTGGAGGATGCGAACAGCATGTAGGAGAACCGGGCAGTCTCTGCCAAATGGGATCTCTTCCTTGCACCCAGGCCTGAACCCAGAAGGATGGAAAGATGCACAGAGGAGAGTTTGGGGATGGATGACATCATCACACTCCTCTGTGATGGAAGTCACCAGCTCCCACTCGTGGGGTGACCCCTACATGTGTCAAGAGCAGAACTGCAAGCCATGGGGCTTTCGATGGCTGATTTGGGGGGCCGGGTGGGGGAGGGGTGCCGATCGCCTGGCCTTTCTTCTGAGGTAGACCTCCAAGCGTTTTCCTTAGGCAAGCCAAGCTAATGAACTGGGTGCTTCTCTTTTGCTTAGGTAGAGCACTGCCCAAAGAAGGCAAAGGGGTTTGAAGACGTTTCTAGAAATCTTTCCAAGCACGTCAAATTTCAATTTGGGATTTGGCTCTGGATTCTGATCAGAGCTTCCGTGGACTTGCCACGTGGTGTCACGAGAATGCGTGACAGTGTCGTGTCGCGTGATGTCATGAGACAATGTATGACAGTGTCATGTGTCATGTCTTCACGGCTCGCTATTCCTGGGCACTTCCTCGGGACCAGGCACGATGCTACACGATTCACGTGCGTAAAAAGCAAATAAAATAAATGACAAGAAATCACACACGTTATTTTAGGCAATCCTCTCTGAGCGAGGAGGTACTGCTACCACCCCCACTTTAGTGATGAGAGAAAACGGAGACCTGGAGAGGTGGCCTATGTCGTGAGCTAGGTCTACGTGTTCCAAGAAGGATGATGACGCCAAGTGGGACATTTCGTGGCATGACCCAGAAAACTAAGGTCCGGACCACAGAAAATTAGATCCATCGAAATCCTAAATGACACTTTTTGATTGCATGACGGCACCAACCTGATTACCAAAAACAACATCCCCCGAAAAAACCATCTCCATACCCACCTACGTTTCTCTGAATTAGCACGCACTCCTCCTTGGTGGGAAGGCGACTTCTGCTGGCAAAACTAAAGTCGAAGCAGTATTTATGCTTGCCCACGTCAAAGAGCGTGCAGTTAAAGGCTGTCCTCCGCTCGCCCGGGCCCAGGCTGTGCTGAGCCAGCCGGACAGCCCCTTCCCCGGGGCGCCTGGGGGCCTCCCGGGACACGGCCACCACGCCCTGCACCAGGACGCAAGGCGGCGGCACCAGGGTCACCTCCACCGCAGACTCGCACGTCACTTCTGGCCCGGTCACCAGCGTGTAGCCGAATTTCTGGGCCAGGTCGATGGGCCCTGTTGAGGTCATGACCGAGTCTCGGCCCCGTAGCTTCAGGACCACGGTGACGTAGGCCTGCGGCCCCACGGGGACACAACCAAACTGCACCCACTGGCCCTGGCGCAGCGCCGTGCTCCGGCTGGTCCTGCTCTCCAGGGCCCGTCCCACGCTTGTCCTGGCCTCGGGCAGCCGGTCGGTGACCACGACGTCTACCAGGATGTGGGGCTGGGCCCCGGGGAACGGGCACAGCGGCTGGGCGGTGAAAAGGCCCACCTGGAAGGTGCCTTCTGCTGCGTCCGGCGTCCGGTTCACATCCACGCGGAAGACGGGCCACTCCACCTTCAGCAGGGCGCTGGTCCCTCGCCCCGGGGCCACGGTGCCGTTATCCGAGGAGCTCGGAGTCATCCGGAACCAGTAGTCGCCGGCCTCCTGGAAGTGGAAGCACTCGAACTCGAGGGTCCCCTGGGACTGGTTGGTCAGCAGGTGTTTGGTGGTGACAGTCCGGTTGGTGGTGGCCTCCAACAGCAGGACAGACACATTCCTCAGGGTCCCATTGCCACGGTCAAAGTCCCCAAAAGCCACAGACACCGTGTGGTTGCTCAGCGCTACATGGCCCGGCTCTCCCAAGAGGAGATACTCCGCTTCCCCGAGAACTGAAATGGAAAGGTCACAATTGGCTTTCAACAGAAATGACTGAGCGACCCTGCTGGGACATGAGGAGTCTGAGCTGCAAACCTGCAGGTGGGCGGGTCAAACACCCCCAGTGGCTCGGCGGAGCAAAGACCTGGCCACCTGCCCCCTTACAGCGACAACCAAGAACACCCTACGGAGCAGAGCTCTACTCCGTAACCCGGGGGTCGCCAGTTGGAGGTCGACTCTGGCAGCCAAGAACAGCTAACGGATGAAAACAGCATCTTCGACAGCAGAGACGTTTGCATGGAGGAATGACATAAAACAAGGCACAGTGCCGTTTCTACTCTTCCCATCCTAAAACAGCCTGGTCCCTCATCTCCATCTTCCACGGTGATGTCTAAAACAATTCAGTATATGATAATAATCATCAGCTATAATAATAAGGATTCCCAAGTTCAAGAAGAAAATGTTATCATGGGTTCAGGCGGGAAGGGGGAGCGGGGAGGCAGGGGGGGAAATGAGCTGACAGCAAGGGCTCAAGTAGAGAGCAGGTGTTTTGAGAATGATGATGGCAACATGTACAAATGGGCTGGACACAAATGATATACAGTATGTACGGATTGTGAAAAGAGTTGTATGAACCCCTAATAAAATGATTAAAAAAACAATAAAAATAAATAAATTTTTACAAAGAAAATGTTTTGAAAAAGATGGTGTCAACAAGTGTGCCTTTACACTCAATCTAATTGAAATAGGGATTGTTATAATATTTGTAAGAGCCCCTCCCCCCGCCCCCCGTAAAGTGATTTAATTAAAAAATATCGTTATTAGTACTCTGTGTTCCCAAGACTCAGCAGGGTCATGTGAAATTCATAAAGCAAGCACCACAACTGGCTGCTGTCAGGTAACCGGCACCACACATTTCTCGCTTGACTCCTATTTGGCTCTGTAGGTATTCAGGGATAATGGATATGCAGTGTGATAAGGGGAGGCTGGATTGAAATGCTAAGCGCTAACTGCCTTAGGCCACTTAATATTGCAAGGCCTGCCCTTTACTGCGAAGTTGCTCACTATTGATTCTTAAGACAAGGACTTGGGAATCTGTCCCAGAGAAGGACAGGGTGCCTGTGTATGAGGAAGGGATTTTGTGAAGACGGGCCATGCGGATACTTCGATCTGCAGGGATCAATCCAAGGACAGGGCAGCAACTCTTGCAAAGTGAGTATTTATGAACTAATTCGTTTTGTCCTGGGCAATTATAATGACATTTCCACCACGGATCTTTGTCTTTATACACCAAACATATCAAACTCAATCACTGCCACCCAGTAGATTCCAACTCATAGCAACCCGAGAGGGCAGAGTAGAACTAACTGTCCCTTTGGGTTTCCAAGGTCATCAGTCCTGATCAGAGCAGGGCGCCTCCTCTTTCTCACGAGGACTGGCTGGTGCATTCGAACTGTGACCCTGTGGTTAGCAGTACAGCACGTAACCCTGTATGCCACCAATGCTCCATTTGCCACTGTAGGCTTCATGAATACTAGTCTCTTGAGTATCATTCAGTTGAGATAAAATACATCTTTTTTTTAAATGACCTATCAGCGTAGCTAAGTAAATAGTGGCAAGATCATCAAAGGAAGTACAATTCAGCAATGTATCAGTGAGCATCCCACAGCTGAGATCAGAAACAAGTCGAGATATAGGGCACTACAATGCCCTATTGGCTTGAGAAACAGTGTGTCTTTGTGCATGAAATATATGAGGGGGACTTCAAAGAGCTGGTGGGAAAATGGAATAAAAAATAATGGCGGTTTCCATGAACTCTGTAAAGCCCCATGCATCCTTACATGCATTCAATCCATGGTTGTTGGAATCGGCATAGAAGTGCTTCATATATTGGCACATAGAGGTATTTTCTTTAAGTAGCTCCACACTTCACCTCGTTTCCTACTTGAGATGCAGTGAAATAAAATATGTGAAACTTGGGTAGATCTAATTCTTGATGACCACTTTAGACAGGACAGAATTTAGGACAGACACCATTGCAGGGTGAGGGAGAGGGGCAGCTTGTGGGCAGGTTCAGAGAAGTCCTGGTTCCCCTTTTGTGAAGTTGTGGCTAAAGAGACTGCAGCCACAGTTCCTTCTGAGAGGGTGGGCAGGAGGGCACTGGGATGCATTTTAAGATTAAGAGGCAGACACCACATAGTAAACCAATGAGAGTCTATTGATCGAGGAGACAGGACTGTCAACAAGACAGATTAGATTCTGATTTGACAGGCAGCCAATCAATGGAAGAGACACTCCGCGCCCAGTTGGAACCGGAGAACAGAGCCACAATTGATGAGTTCCACAAACAGCCTTCGATGGGAGGCTGCTGAAAAGAGAGCTGGCTGCTTCACTCTAGAACGCTTGTTCCTACAGGTGAGAGCACATTCCGGTCGAGAAAGCTTTACCTTGGGTCCATTACTTCCCGACTTCTGGTTGGGTTTCTAGTTCCTCTCTCCCCAAGCCTTTCCTGGATTTAAAGGGAGTCAATTACGACTCCCGGCACCCTCTGGGTTTCCAAGACTATAACTCTTTCCGGGGAAAGTCGCGGCTTTCTCCCACATTTAAAGCAAGTCGTGTCTATATAGAAGGAGGATTAAAAAAAACCTGTGAGCATCCCTTTCCCACTAGTGATGTGTGTGTTCTATTCTCAGTCAACCTTTATTTTTAAGATTCCAGTGAGAAATTTTCCTCTCAGCAACGACAAATCATACATGAGAATTGTGGGTGGTGTTATTTATCACTGGGAAACCAGCGCATTCTCTAAGTTTTTGCACAAGGCTGTTAACACATACAGCGATCTGTCCTTACCTTGCGTCCCAATGTCACTGAGTTGATTCAGGCCCTCTCTACTGTTTCCTTGACTGTAAATGTCTACAGGAGAACACAGCCTGACTTTCTCCATGGGGAGAGGCTGGTGAGTTTGAACTACCAACCTTGCAGTTAGGACCTTGATACTTCTCATACAGAACCACCAGATCCTCGGGCGATTTTTTTTATGCCCAATTTTTGAAGTCATCCGATATTGCTTTTGATGCAATATCTATCTGAGGCAGAGCAACAAACTCTCAGCGGGGTGAACCAAAATGAAATGCTTCAAAGCTTTGCTTTACAGGAAATGAGTCCCACATTGGCTGTCCTGAAGTCAACTGTCTAAGTAAACCTGTTCTTAAAAAAGAAAAATGACTGGAAGTGAGCCCATTTCTACAGTTAACAACAACAACAAATCAACCATTTAAGATCAAAAAGGCAGCATTTGCCCAAGGTCAAGGCTCAGAGGGCTGGAACGGGAGGAGGAATGGAAAGAGGAAACAAGGGAGAAAGCGGGATAAGCGAGGGTGCATGGAGGGGCTGCAGTGGATGAGCTGGAACAACGTGTGTGCAAGTTGTTGGCTATAAAACTTTCAACTATTGAATTGTACGATTTGTGCAAAGCTGTTTTAAAACAAAACTGATGATCTGCTCTATAAACCTTCACCTAATTCTCAATAAAAAGTTAAAGAAACACGAGCATTGCCTAAATGCTGGGGGGAAAAGTGGCAAAGGAACCAAAAAAAAATGAATGAGAAAGGCGATCTACTAGACAAAATGAATACTATAAAGCCTGGCTCACTCACTGGCTGCACCACGGGAGTCAGGATGACCCACATCTTAGATCACACTGTCTTCATCACATTTGAAAACAACATCCATAGCCACTCAACTGCGAACACTGTCTGTACTTGAACATCATCAAAAGAAAAAAAGGCAGGCAACTTTATGTCATCTTGTTGAATCTATTCATTCAGAAGTTGCATAAAACTCTGTAAATAAGAAACTGAATTCTTGGTGGAAACAAATTTAAGAGACCTCAGGCGCCGCACCTATGTGCTAAGATGCTCCGACTTGCATGTGTGGGTGGTACAAATAGGGAGGCTCTTGGCTGCCGGCCACAAGGTCACTCACTATGAGTCTGAGTCAACTCAATACCAACGGATTTCGAATGTGCTCAGACATTCAAGGTGCCTCGCGTTCTTGATTTGATAACAACCCTGTGATAGTTACATAATCTCCTGTCAACTTGCAAAGGGGTGGAGTCCAGCCTGTCAATCAGGTCACAGCTTGATGACCTCTTTTGGAAGTGCCACAGAGATAAATAGCTCACAGGAGGGGAGAAACGCTCTCTGCTTGTCTCCCTGTGAGACATTCCTGTTGACAAGCCATATGGAGCTATGCCTTGGAGCTGGAGGAGCCATGTGGAGACTCACGCCAGTGCTAAAATGCTCCCACCACTGGATCCATGAGACTTTCCACCCACCGGTCTGTGATCTTCCTGCACTCAGCATCATTGCATGCTGTGTGAGTCTAAAGAGGAATTTATGAACCAGTATCAATGTATGGGCTAATATCGGATTTATGAACTTGACCTGGACTGGGCTGGGATGTTTCTTAATATACAAGTGCTCTTTGATATAAAGTTCTCTCGTACACATATGAGTGTCTCTAGATTTGTTTTTCTAGTCTACCCAGACTAACACAAACCCTGTGAAGTCCATATTATTCTGAGATGGGAAAAAATCAGGCCGATCACCTAAGGACACACAGCTGGCAAGGTATGACATTCTAACTGGTTCCAATGGTGCTCTCGCAACAAACCTCTCGTTAAAAGTGAAACCTAATGCAGAGTCCCAATACATAAGACAGCATTTATGTGTGAATGTGTGTGACGTTTACATTCATAAAACGAAAGTACTGGGAAATCAATAAAAGAGAACTCGGGTTAACGTGCTGGGCTCCAGATTTTTATTACTCTTCCTAATGAGCTAAAATTTAAATCAAGGCTGCAGCATCCCCGAAGAACCTTCAAAGAACACGGTGTTGCAATGATCGCGGTGGCAAAGAAACTCACTGTACACCAGCGGTTCTCAACCTGTGCGGGTCGAACGACCCGTTCACAGGGGTCACCTAAGGCCATCAGAAAACACGTAAATATTTCACAATATATAATTACATATTGCTTTGTGATTAATCGCTATGCTTTAAGGATGTTCAATTTGTAACAATGAAAATACATCCTGCATATCAGATATTTACATGATGCTTCGTAACAGTAGCAAAATGACAGTTACGAAGTAGCAACGAAAATAATTTTATGGTTGGGGGTCACCACGACATGAGGACCTGTGTGAAAGGGTCGCGGCCTTCGGAAGGTTGAGAACCACTGCTCTAGACCCTCTCCTACCTCCTTCAAGAATGGTCCTCAGCATCAATACATTTCTAAATCTCACACTCAGCTTCTTTAGGAGCTCTGGTGCTGCGGGGTAAGGGTTGCCCTGCTAACCCTCAAGGCTGGCAGCTCAAAGCCATCAGCACTCCTTGGGAGAAACAGGAGGCTGTCCTGTAAAGATGGGACCCAGGGGAGCAGCGGTCCTATTGAGGGTTGCCGTGAGCTGGAATCCATTGCATGGGAGTGGATTTGGCTTGTTTGTTCGCTTGGTAGGTTTTTTTCATGGGCTCAGACACAGCAACAACTCTGAGGCAGGACAAGGCAGCGTTCTGATCTGTTGCACATGCATGTGAATCCGAACCAACCCAACTGCACCAAACAGCAACAACATGGATCCCTATAGGTTTCCTCCCTCGCTGCCACTGAATCCATTCCAACTCATAGTGGCCCTAAGACAGAGTACAACGGCCCTTGTGTGTTTCTGAGACTGTAACTCAGTTGTAGCAGAAAGCCTCATGGTTCTCCCTTGGAGCAGTTGGTGGATTTGAACTGCTGACCCTGGGGTTAGGAATGTGTAATTCAGCCATCAGGGTTCCTAAGGTCACCTGATTTCATCTCCTCTGAGCAGAAACTCCTATACATTCCCTAGGTGGTACAGATGGCTTGCACCCAACTGCTAATCAAACGGCTGTTTCAACCCTGCCAGTAGTACTACTATGGAAGCTGCCCAGGCGATCTGCTTCTGATATATTTAGAGGCAAGAAAGCCCTATGCACTGGGTCTCCTGCGGACTGCTGTGAGTCGAAATGGGTTTGATTGAAACAAACAATAACAACACAGCCTTAAATATTCTCAGAATACTCACCATAGTCACAAAGCACCACCAACAATAGATTTGAAAAGTCTTTCAACATTCCTTTCATTCTGATCAGCAAAATCCCAGGTCTTTGATCTCCTCATGTCCTTTTTCACACCCAAATAGCAAGTGTTTTCCAGGAACACCTGAAATTAGAACCACTGAAATGATGACTCTGTTCAATGCTATTCATAAAGCAGCTCGAAGGAAATGACAAAACCTTCTTAACAAACTTGAATTTCCCAGGGTATAAGTCTGCCATCAAGATGATTCTGACTCTTGGAGATGCTACAGGACAGCGTAGAACTCCCTCTGTGTGTTTCTGCGACTGTAAATCTTTATGGGAATAGAAAGTCTCATCTTTCTCCCACAGAGTGGCTGGTGGTTTCAAACTGCCAACCTTGTGGTTAGCAGCCCAGTGCAAGACCCCCTACACAATCAAGGCTCCTAGGGTATATGGAGAGGAAAATGGGAGGGCACAATTTTCCTGTGGAAATGATCTGTAACTACACACACCCCTTTTGGTCCATTAAAGTACACTTGTTAAGAACATGTGAGAAGCAAGCCCCATCCCAAGTTGACCTCTGCACACCACCAAGCTTCATCGTCCTTCAGAGAGCGTTTGTTATCTGCTTAATAATATCGAAGTTAATACTCCCTCTGGAGCACACGTTTGCACATTACTTGGGTCTGTCATTTCACACTGATAAATTCACTAAATTGTGCTATCTAGCCCCAAACTCAGCTGCCTTGCTTCCACCGTCTGACCTGTCACATGAAGTCTTCCCTGAAAACTTGGTGTATTCTCAGGACTGCTTCAATCATTTCAGGAGGCCAACACCAAAATGGTCAAGTCTTTTGAAATACATAAACACCCAGAGCATTATAGTTCAATGTGAATGCCATGTGGCTCTGGCTACTTCTCTCTGGAGCAGCCTAAAGAAAAGACAGCTAACGATTATGTATCAGCTGTAAGAGCCCCCAATAAAATTTTTTAAAAGAAGAGAATAAATATCATCTTTTTGACAGTCATCCAATACCTGTTGCTACTGGTGTGCATAGAAAGATAGATGATTCATGCGGCAATCTTCTCGGACCACCTAGGAGGACAGGCAAGACAGACCTTGGCGGCCCGTGGTTTGGTGACTTGTAGCGATGGGCATTTCATTGATATAAACAGTCCATGAGACTGTAGAGTAAGAGACAGGGCATTTAAGCCAGCTTTTTTCAGATTAGAATTTAGTAGATGACAGTCTACTAAACACAACTGAATAGGTGTCTTCTTAATGTTCCTATCTCCATTATCCAGTGTTCATGTATTTCAGCAAGCCTGCCTATTTGCACATTTATGTAGGTCACATCCCTTCCAAGGAGAACAAGAATTAAGGGCATTAGGAGGACTGATTGAAATAATCCAAAATGTAAGGAAAAGGAAACTAGTGTTTCTCTATTAGCTTTCTTTCAATAAGAGCTCATACAACGAAGGAAATGCACTTCCTCAAGGGGAAGCTGAGATTTGAAGCACAATTATGTAGATCAAGGGTGGGGAACGTCCGGCCAGCTGGCCATATACCTCATCAATACCAGCTAACATCCCATGGCTCACCAAGGAGAAGCTGTTCCAGCCAGGACATTAAACCAGAAAACCCTGGCATCAGGTCCTCATTTTCCCCCTCCCCCCCCTCCCTCATGAGCCCTTGATAATTTATAAATTATTATTTTGTCATATCTTGCCCTGTCCGACGTCTCCCTTCACCCACTTTTCTGCTGTCCAGGGGCTTAAGTGGAGAGGAAATGTTTTGAGAATGATTGGGGCAATGAATGTACAAATGTGCTTTACACACACACAATTGATGTATGTATGGATTGTGATAAGAGTTGTATGAGCCCCTAATAAAATGATTTAAAAAATCAATAAATAAACTAGAAAACCAAACGCACCGCCATGGAATCCGTTTCGACTCAGAACCACCCCTAGGGGGAGGTAATTAAATGTTTGACCAAAGATAGCAGGCTGATTTTTAAGGTGGTAAATGTGCATGGCCCAACAATGATGTTATAAATATCCAAATGGCCCTTGGCAGAAACAAGGTTCTTCACCCCCCATGCCAATGACTGGTACTTCATGTGGTTTCTCTCTCTCTCTCTCTCTCTCTCTCTCTCTCTCACACACACACACACACACACACATACACACACACACTTGCACGAGAGCGATTGCACACACACTCAGCTTTGTTGGAATTAGCCAGAGTTGACCCCGTTCTTTCTGGAGCATGTACAGGGGCACCAGGACAACGACTTGGGTACATAAGAGGCCCTTACAGAAAAACGTGACCCTATCTCTGGGCTAAGTGTGGGTACTCAGAGCAATTAAAATGCTTCCACCAATCCACAAAAATGAGAGTGTAGAAAAAGCGGCCTGCCTTCTTCCCAAACTGACTGCTGCCCCAGGATCACCACTTTTTAAGGAGGTCGCTAATCATAACTGATTGCAACATATTTTCTTTCCAGAGGCAAATGGCCAGCCATTGTACGATATGATACCCTAAAATTACTATATGTTATACAGCTGAACTCAAATAGAATTATAAAACAAACCATTTGCTACCTATAAAGAAAAATATGTTTTTAAAAGCGTTCTCAAGCCTTAAAATGTTTACCCGTTCAACCACCATTCTGAAGGTTAGCAGAAAACACCCAGAATGGAATACAGTCCTGGATAAATTCGTTATCTATCATTTTTAATTTCTTTTAAGATCGTAGCATGACTCCTCGTTCATTTGTTTTCCTTCCAATTTTTTTTTCTGATACCACAACAGGGCAGTTAAGCTTCCTCGTTTCTTTTAAGAAAAGAGGAATTTACATCTATTTTGTCCTAACATTTAAACAACCTACAACATCCCTGTGCGTGTGCACGGTTAGAGAGAATTTATAGAACAATTCCAAATGTATCCGCTCAGAACCTGGAGGGACCTGGTGACCACTCAGTCGTCGGTGGCCAACTGAATCTTTGCGGGCGCAGGTCCCAAGCTTTGAGTGAAACCAGACGAGATAAAGGCTTCCGCACGCCCCCCACGACCCGCCAGGAGACCGACCCGTCATCGACTTCTCAAAAGGGCCACCGTGATGATCGAGTGAGTGCTCCTGTCCCTTCCGTCAAGCGTGTCCACGCTCGAGTGCGTAGACGCAGAAGCGATGTCGGCTGGGGGGGCAGATACAGATGCCCCCGTGGCCTCTATTCCGACGCCCCGTCGGGGCCCGGGCTGCAGCCGCTCCCGTGGGAAGCCGAGCGCGCCGGCTGCGGGCTGCAAACCCCGCGTTTGCAGGAAA